TTCTTATCAATTCGTTTTCCATGATAAAAGTTTTCCACGAAAGAGACTTGTCATAAATTGTGCTTGCAACAGACTTGTTGGTTAATATACTCTTGTCTGTGCAAATGCATGCAAACTGTACATTACAAGTTACTACAAGTTCAAGAGGAAATACAAGCTTCGACTTACAAATAACCATATTTACGTTATTTTTTCTAAGACATCATGGCGTCATTGCGTATTGTACTGCTTGTGGTTGTGTGTGTTGTCCTCGTGAAAGCTTSCACTCAACAAGGTAACTTTTTGGCATACATACTCGTCCCCAGTGCATCTCGGTCGTCCCTTCTCCCTTCGTTAACACTGGTAACAGCTAGATGAGTCGTGTAGTCTGAAGCTGTTAACAAAGCCAAATTACGACTAAATATTTATTTTAACCTTTGTGCGGAACAGGAAAATGTAATCAGAGTTTTGCTCACGACAAAAAAAAGAATGCATTTGTGTTCTGTCTTCCGGATTTGGATATCTTTAGCCAGTGGTAAGTCACGCAAATGAACAGCTTCCATGTCTGTATGATCCATCCACCTTAAAGTAGATGTATAGCAGTTTAAACGAGCGAAGGTTGAAAGAAATACCTAGTCAAATTTTGGCTTTGTTGTCTTTATTCGACCTGAGCCCGTTAGGAAAAGGTCAGCTTTATTCGCACTAGGTTTCCATCTAAAAWGCTCCGAGCATCCTTATAAATCCACCAATCAAAAGCGAGGAGAGACGGTTGAATGTACGGCGAAAATCGCGCATGCTCGAACTTTCTAGCCAATCAGCATCGAGCCTCAAACGGCTGTTACCAGGGCTAACGAAGGGAGAATGGACGACCGAGATGCACTGGGGACGAGTATGTTTGGCTTATTAAACACTCTTTGAGGGCATATACGTCTATAGGATTAGAACATGTTAGAATAACGTAAGTAATGTTTTTTTTTTTACATTTGTAAAAAAAAATTGTGCTAGTCAGGCTAAGAGCTCGAGGCGTCTAGTCAGAACAAATTGATGATGGTGTTTCTCGTAGCATATCCTCTTAGCGTCATCGAATCGTCAAGATTGTTGTTGATACACGAGACAAAATCAAGAAACTATCATCAATTTGTTTTTGTTTTTTTTTACCCCAAAGAATATTTTGCAATAACAAGATAACAATCCCCCCCCCCCAACCAACACCACAAAAAAGCAACAACAACAGAAGAACAATCTTGTTACCGTAGTATCTCGACCAATCAGAAAGCAAGAAAATTTACAATTGTGGTAAAATCAGTTTTGTACTAGTATTTTGATGGAATAAAACCATTTATTGAGCCATGCCCCATTTTCCCATGTAATATCGCGCGCGTCTCTTTTTCCAACTGCCACTTTTATGCCTGTGCCCGTAGATATTGAGATGAAAATACAGAAAAGTGCTTTTAATTAAAAAAAAACAACAACATTTATTTCCAGGAAGCCATGAAGAGGAAAAACTTCAAAAGGCACGCAAGGAGCACGTACAGAARCTCATCCAAGARCTRACCAAGCTATCCATTGAGGAAGAAGAGAAGACAAGGAAAAGATACCAGGAATCGGACGACCCAAAGAAACGAGATTGTAAAGACTTGAAAGTGAAGTGTCAGATGATGAAATGGATTAGAGGATGTGAAAATGATGAAATGAGAGAGATGTGCAAGGCAACATGCGGTCTGTGTTAATACAGGTAGGGACCGAACTGATATGAAGGTTGTAGGGGGTCCGTAAAGAACAAAGAGAAATACTGGTCCCCTGGTAATGTCCATTCCTTGAGGGTCAACGACAGCGTTCTTTATCAGTGCAGAATAATCCTTGTACGGTGAACTAGAAAATAATTTCCCTTGCTTTGTAGTCTGACAGAGACCCCTCTTTCTTGTGAACTCGAGCTTGACCGGCCTCATGCGTGTCATTCTGTGACATGCAAGGTCGAAAAGGAGAAAGCCGGAGAACGTATACAATATTGATCATTCCTCGGTGTCATGAAGATTAAGACAATCTTAGTTTGCCTTAGAAATGTCGCAGTATAGGTGATTACAAATGTTTACATTTTAGCTAATTTGCATAAAAGTCAGAAATCAAAATTCAGGCCCACAAGAAATCAATCACATAAATGAAAAGATCTCATACCTGTTAGCAATTCCTGAAATTTGAAGGCAATTGGTTAAATATTTTAAGAGATATAATCAAGCACCGAATTTGCAAGATTTTCTTAAGAAATGACCTTGGTGGTCATAATATAGCCAATCACTTAATGTTTTCCATAGGTTTTGTAGTTTTGAAATGCCGATATCTCGAAATGTAAGTAGACGTCTGCCCTAAAGTTTTCAGGTTTTGTTGAGAGTAACATAATCTGGAATTGTGTGAGTTCATATTGCTTATTTTTTTAATTTGATACTTTGGATGTAAACAAACTACGACGGTCGTCATTGCACGCCCACCTATTTAAGCCACTTGCAAGTGACTTCACCACTTGTTCTTCTGTTTCAGATGCCGGCAACCATCCAGGATAAGTTGAAGATGATTCGAGCCTAKTATATAACTGTTCACTTGTGAAATAATCTCCTTCATGGTTCCCTTTGCCATCTTGAAATGTAAAACGGTGCCTTTTTATCGAACCGAGACGACCGTTTAGGACTAGGAGCCGACGGGTTCCTGGGAGAAATATATCTGTTCTTATGTCCCTGCCAGCTGTAAGTCACAACTGGTTGCTGGCGAGAAATTCAGGAAAAAAAGAACTCTCCAGGCAAGGAATACTTTCTAAGAACTTTTGCCAGGAAAATAAAAATTTCCTAACTAAAAAAATGTAAGCCGTTTTTGACAATAAAAGCCTTAAAATCGTTTGCCAGGAACAAAATTATTTTAAAGAACCTGAAGAAGGAAACAAATCGTACAAGAACAGTTGATTAGAAGAACACACCCCATTGTCTCCCCCTGACCGTTGAGCGTGCAATGATGCAAGGTTTCTATCGCTGCGCACTCAGAGGTCGCCTTGCCTCGATCAAAGCCACGGCTACCTTTAGTTAGATTATGAAAGCGGAACCGTGAAGGAGACTARTATTGACAACTGCATTTTGTGCCTTTATTGAATAAACGTCTTTTTCCTGGAAACATGAAGCAATTTTTTTTAACTGGAGTTCACATTAGGGCAAGCAGATAAGTGGGGGCAGCAACGTTCATTCGGGGCTCCGTCGCCGCACGAGAGTATAAATAGCGAGTCATATTTGAGACAAGTTTAGGCTTCAGTAGGCGGAGTCGGCACCAGGTAGTTGATGTCAAAATCACCTGTAGAGGGAATATCTCTCATATTTTGAGAGTTTGGTTTTTGATTATGTGTGAGTAAGCGACCAACAGGGATGAGATATCTGAGAGAAAGCAGTTGTGGCTCTAAAAAAAGGACTGACGGCGGGCTAGCCTACGTATAAGATATACAGCGATCGATTGAGATCACAGCAACGCTCCATTATGTTAATATTATTCAGTCAAGTGCGTTATTATTGGGCGACAGAACAATGAAGAACCAGTTTCATTTGAATATATATATTATATATATCAATACATATTAAAGCTGTACACCTAACCAAAACAATTCTGCAACTTTTAATATATATATATATGTCTTTTGTTCTTGAGAGATTAAACAATAGGGAAACAATAGACATATATATTTTTTAAAATAACAATTACGATTTTTAAAATTACTATGCTCATTGCTGATCAAAAGACATTAGTATATATATATTGAAAGTTGCAGAATTGTTTTGGTTAGGTGTATATTAAATACTACTTATTAACCGAGAGTGAGGTCATTACAGGGAAATCTCAGACCGAGGTCTTGGAAGTATGGACCGAGCGATAGCGAGGTCCACACAAACAAGACCGAGGTCTGAGATTTCCCTGTAATGACCGAACGGACGAGGTTAATAAGTTATTTATTATATGGCTCTCTTAATAAAAAAAATATATTTAAACACTTCCTCTTGCGCGCGCATTTGTTCATTCAATGTCATGTCCAGTGCCGAAAAAATACAACAATTTGTTTGAAAATGTGTTTAATATAGCACAATTTATGTCACAAAACCGTTTTTATTCCACAAAACACGGTAATTTAGCTTAAAAAGTTTCAGAACATCCAAAAGTTTGTAAAAATAGTTGGAAAATACGTCAAAATTAAGACGATTGAAAACGTCAACACGTGCAGACCTTGCAGTGATTTTAGCGAATGTTCAACTTTCATCGTCACTCTCGATTTTTCCGTTGTTGGATCTTGACTGTACCTTTGAACATTTTGAACGGACAGTCGGATATTTTGCTGATGTTAGCTCCACCGAAAATTCTACTTAAAGCACTTGGATTTGATGTATGAACGGCGAGGGAAGTGGTTGACTCAACTGGTTACTCCGGTTACTCATGAGGACGGCAAGCATAGTCTAATGACAGCTTAGAAATGCTCGATAAGTATTCATCATAATTTAAAGATAGCTCAAAAAGGATGGTATTGGAAGAAAAAAACGATGTGTCAGGATGTAAAAGCTCAAAWGAAGCCAGAACATACCTCTACAGACTACTCAAAACAAAAGTGAAAAGCCGAAGGGATTCAAACCGGTGTTTTGACAAGAAAAGCTGAGAATGAAATCCTCCTCTTAAAAATTCAATGAGCTCGTTGACTAGAAAAAAAGAGCAAACACCTGGAAGTCCAGTTGAAGGAATTTTGAGTCAGTGTGAACTCGTTCAAATGCCAAGCTTTCTCAATGAAAACAGCTGAAAACAGGCAAACTTTCAAGCAATTCGTGGGACATAACCGTCGTCTATCAAGTTTACTTTTGCAATTGCTCAATGCAATAACTCCTCGGTTGCTGGAGAAAGAGAAGAAAATTGTAATTCAATATTGAGGGACATCCACATCGAAGAATTAATAAACAAACCTACACCGGCCTTGTCGATAGAAGAATCATTGAAAAGTTTGTGAGTAGACTGTGCATGAAAATTAACTGAATCTATGAAATAAGGAGCCATCATTCCCTCATTTTTGCAGACAATTACTAAAAATATAATGATTTTGGTCATTTTCGTCGGTTTGGTACTAAAAATATAATGGTTTTCGTCTGTTTGGTAGCCATTTTGTCGGCTTTCGCACTAATCTTGTCAAAAACTTACATGTTAAAAAAATTCACTTTGACTGTAGTTWTCGTTGTCTCTCATTTTGCAAATAAAAAATTTTCAAACATTTATTTTTTTCGTAAACGAACTAAAAGGATATCTTTGTTTTGCAATGCGTTTCAAATTGTGTTTTTTCTTCGTCTTACTCAAAGTCAAAGCTGGTTTAATCGCGAAAAATAATGACCGCTGTGAGCGGGCATTACAGGAAAATACCGAYCGGTCATTATCTGTCAACAGCCAATCAGAGCGCGCGTACTATCTAAGCCATATAATAATGCCATATAATAATAGACCACGAGCATGCGTATTACCGTCAAGACCTGAAAGAGACAGTTCCCTGCGTAACCGACTGATAGCAGACTTCTGTGATGACATTTCCAATCTCGTATAAATAAAAATCGAATTATACGCGTCCACCATTAACGGACCACGTTAAAGGATTATATATTCAAAAGAATATATATAACCAAATAGTATGAACTTCAGGTAGCAGTAGCAGTAAGTTTTTTTTTCTAATTTCGTTAAAAAAGTCAAAAAAGTTGGCGTGACGACCTGACGTTTGAAACTTGAGAATCAAATTTTAAAAGTGACCTGTATGAATCAAGAACTTTCTCGGTTGAGCCCGACACCTTTCGAGAAATTGTTTCGTGGCAAGATTTCACGATCACCTACCTGTAAAGGTGATATTTTGCTTGATGTTAAAATTTGGTATGGTTTGAAGACAGTAAAAGCGGTGGATGGTTGAGGTGACAAGCGAATATCCGGGGCTTCAAGTAATTATTCTCAAACTCATTAATAATTCATGACTTGCCTGTCCAATCATTTGATCTCTTT